TTACCATTTTCTATTATCGCATGTGATTTCCAGAGAAAAGATCATTTTCACAAATAAAAGTGGCCTCATTTTTCTCTCTAATATACTTTTTGGCGTTTCTTGTTGCCTTGTTCCTTTGTCTTGTTCCACATTGCCTAACTGCCAACTTCCTTTTGGTCCTATCTTGCATCTTTGGTCCTTTAAATATTCTCTTTCCAGAACAGGGACCTAAAATAAGTCAAATATTCTAATATTTAAATACTTTCAAATATTCTATATTTGAAAGTATTTAAATTTATAGTGAATAGAATGAATTAATGGTCAAATGATTAGTGATCAAGATAATTATCATTTTAACATAACTTCATAAAAGAGGAGCAGTTTCTCGGCTATTTTATTTTCCCGAATCTTACATATTTATGAATTTTAATTGTAAATGTCTATTAATATTAATACAAAAATGGCATGAATTACCTTCCTACTTTCCTCACAGAGACAAACTATGTCTTTCATTGTGCAATTACTTTTCCGACAACCAATTCGTCTAAACGTATATTCTATATAAAATATATACTATAAAATCAAAACAATATAGAAACTATTTATTGCATAAGCTTACATCTGTTAGTTTACGGTTGAAGGCCTTACTTTAATACCTTAGTAGAAGGCAGAGGGATGGGGTAGTAAATTTTCATCTACCTTTACAAAATATTTTTCACGTAACATTAAAAAGAATTTGTAATAAAAAACTTTAAAAGATATTTGTTTACCTATCATTACAATTATCAATAATTGGAAGATCGCACCGGCAAGCAGACACATCAAACAACGTTTCCAGTTTTTTTTCTAGCCAGCTTATACCAGACTTATGGTATTTAGATTGAATTCGTTTTGCAGACAACACTTTTAGAAATGTTCTCGATATTTTATTTTTCAATGGTTTATCTTTTATCAGAGATAGATTTGGATTGACCTTACGCCAAAGCTGTTGCAAGTCACTATTGACTTTTGTCACGATTGATACAGAGTCAATTTTCTGTCCATTAAATAATTGTTTCTCAACCTTGTAACCGTATTGAATGAACTGTTTGTAAGTTGGTAAATCGCTTACGGGTAAATCAGAGGCTTTTCAAGCAAATCTTCCACAATTAATACGAGTTTTATTTAAAACTTTTACAGGTCGTCCAAGTTTTTTTGAGCTCATGCTGATATGATAATATGAATTTATTATATAATTAAAAAATAAAACAAGAAACTATTTTTCAATTTAAGTTTCTAATTGAAATTGCTTTAAACTATTTGTTAAAAAACAATTACCCGGTGGGAAATCGGCTAGCGAATAGCTAGCTATATTCGTTACGATAAAGACAGCGATTTGGCCACGAGGATCGCTAGCTTTTTTAAGTTAGCGAAAAGCTATCGATATTTGTATAGATAAAGACAGCAATTTGGCTAAGAGGACAGCTAGCTTAATAAGCTAAAGACTCACAGGCTATTGAAGCTACCGTCATATCGTAATAAAATCGCTATCAAAAATATTTTGGTATGTAGCTATCAACTAGCTATAGATTTGTAGATATTTTGTAGCTAGCTACAAAACTACGATTGTAGCTAGCGACACATTGCTACAAAATCGCAATGTTTAAAGTTCAATTATTCTCATAATTATAATAGACTCAACACTAAAAATTGAACTTTTAAAGATGTTAGAGACATTAGTTAAATAAAAAAAAAAAAAAAAAAAAAATCGCTTGAAAATCCCTGTAAAACTACCTAGTCGCACGCTAGTCAATAGCTCATTTCCCACCGGGTTGCTTACGTTATAGTTTAGTAAATAGATTTTTTATCGAACGCAAATCTCTGTAGTTTGCTGTATATTTTCAATAGCTCTACGTTTTTTTTAAAAAAAAATCCGCATGAAAGTAGAGTTTTATTTATGGACCTTAAGTGAGTTTTATTTACGGACCTTAAGTTTTTCTATTGCGTTTCCCAAAAAGATTAAAAGTTTTTAACGTTTTTTTTTGTGGCAAACTAATAATATATTCACAATACATAAATCCCACACTGAGCCAAGTGTTATCATATACATGACAGTGGCTTACTGGATATATTTTCGCGTCACGGTAAGGAAGGCGGCGTGAACTTTCTGGTTAAATGCACCACTGCGGTGCTCTGTGACAAGATCGTTAGGTCATCTTGGGACACCTAAAAAAACAAAATAAAAATCAACAGATATTCAGCATCATAATATTGAGAGACCACAAAATGTAAAAAAATATGTATATAAAGTTGTTTGAAATAAGTGGGATGAATTAGGAAAATAGACTCACGTGGAGCTAATTGGATCAAGAAAGAAAAAGAGAAAATACAATATGAAAAAAAAAAAGTATGAAAAAATAAAAGTATGAAAGAAAATACGAATACAAAAAAATATGTAAAAAACACTCGCTAAAATAAAATAAGCTTGGATCTTTAGAAATAAGAATATTTATTAGAAAAAAGTATAACTCATACAAAAATCCAAATGGTATGTGGAAAACAAACAAAACAAAAAAACTACTTAAGTAGAAATTTTTTTTTTATTATGATTATTATTAACTTTTATTTCGTGAAAACAAAAAAAAAAAAATTAAAACAAATAAGAAAAAAAAAAACAAATTTTTTTAATTGTAAACTTTAATATATATGTCAAGAATTAAGGAGATGCATTTTAGTTTGTCGTTTGAACGATGAAATGCTTTTCAGATCTTTAATATTTTTATTTTGGAAATGATTCCATATTGATGGACCGCGTTTTGTAATTAGAAAAACTTGACTGCTGTGATTTATTTTTCCCAAGGTTGTGTCTGGTATTATATAATATATTTTTTAGAAAATACCTGAAAAAACGCTGTTTTTTAGAAATTATCTGAAAAAACGCTTGGTAGAAGATTGTTTTTATATTATACATAAAAATTAATATATGTAATGTGTTAAGTTTCTCAATATCTAGAACCATCATGCCTTTCATCACTGGGGCCGGGTTTACTAACCTATTTAAATAATTATTTGCTTTGCATACATGGTTTCGCAATTTTAGCAATTTGGTTTTATCGGTGCTGGTTCATACAATATTTGCGTACAAAGCTGATTATGTACAAGACTAAAGTAAAGCATATTACGTAATTTACTATCGAGATAGGGTCTTGACTTATACAAGACACCCATTACAGAGAACACTTTTGTTTCAAGAAGACCAATATGGTTTCTCCATGACAAATTTTCATCAAAAAGTACTCCCAAAAATTTTGTGTATTTTTCACGTTTATATTAATAAACAGGTTAGACAGCTTTAATAGAAGGTTAATTTGTTTTTGTATAAAAAAGAGTAAAGCTAGTTTTTTCCCAATTTAGGGATAATTTATTTGCTATGAAACAGAGGTTGAAATTTTCAATACTCATAGTTTCAAACAAAGTCTGTACATCAGGATGATTAAAAAATAAATTTGTATCATTAGCATACATAATTGTAGATATTTTTTGGGAAGCTTTATGCATATCGTTAATATATTAAAAACAATAATGGACCAGGATTGAACCCTGAGGAACTCCACACGTAACATCAAGGGCTTCTGACTTTACTAGTAATACAAATTGCTTCCTGTTAGACAAATAGCTTTGAATCCACTTGAATGTTGAGCCTATTATGCCGTAATATTTAAGCTTGGAAAATAAAATACTGTGATAAACTGTATCAAAGGCCTTGGAAAGATCAATAAAAACTTCTATTATAGTTACAAGAATTGTAAAATCAAAGCCTAGTATTTACAAGTTTACAAACTTTCAAAATGAAAAATTTGTACATCACAAAAAATTTACAAAGAACACAAACTTTGATAAATTTTTTTACATGTTTCTTTGATGGCTTAAATACAACAAAATCAGTTCATGCCCATTCATATTTTTTAATACAACAAAATCAGTTCATGATCATTCATATTTTTTAATACAACAAAATCAGTTCATGAACATTCATATTTTTTCTAAAAAGACGAGTTCAGGTTTTTATTTTAAAATAAAGTAAAAAAAATATAAAATATTTAAAAGCCTTTTATATTTATACTTTTGAATATATTACAGTGTAATATAGCGTAATATATATCTTGTAATTTAAGTAAGTTGCGTTGTTTATTACGCTATATTACAGTGAAATAAAACGTAATATATATCGTTTTTTTTTTGTATTTTTATGATTGAAATAATTTAGGTGATAAGACTAAATTTGCCTATTTCTCGCCCCAATCATATATTTGAATAGCTTAATTTTTTAAACTTCTTTTTTTTTAAAACCTTTTTTTATCGGCGAAATAAATATATTTTTATTTTTTTTTAACTTCTTTTTATCGGCGAAGAATTTATTTTCTTTTTTTCATATATTTTATCTAATATTTCTTATGTATTTATAATGTAAATGTTGACAAACTTGTTTCCAGATTATTTAATTTTTTTTTTCCATCTGTTTTTTCACCTTTTAAACAATTAATGGTAAATTCCTTTTTAAACAGTTTTTATCTGGATCTCCTGGTGACTTAACCTTTTTGTATTTTTTTCATTTTTATTTTGGCACACTTTTTTATTATTTTTGGACAGTAACTTTTTATATCAACTACAATCAACATGTCTTTTATCTATTTTACAAACAGTAACTTTTTATTTTTTTAACTATAATTAACATGTCTTTAACTGGCAAACTTTTTATAACTCCTTTTGATTTAGATTTCTTTTACTTCTGTTTCGATTAATTTTTTAGTTCAAACGAGAAAGTTCTTTGTGTGTCCTACGAGCGATTACATTAACGAAAAAAAAATCTTTTTAGGAGAGTTCAGAGAGTATTATCTCCTCTCTTCTCTTCATAAATAATTTCGAAAAGTATTCATTACCCGTGATTGTGACTACCACAACATTTATTTGGTACTTGAGAGTAATCACTATCAGCTACCAGATCTCAGAACATCGCAACTGGTCTTAAAAGATTAAAAAAATTTTATTTAAAATTTTATTTTAAGTTTTATTAGATTTCTTTGAACCTTTCATTCCTTTTTTGCGCATATTTTTTTGGTTGTTTTTTGCTTGCTTATTTTTAATCTGCTTCTGGTGTTTATGTTGAATTCTGTAAAGGGCGTTCGAGGCTTTAGAGCCTCGTTTTGGACCTTCGCTTCTTAACACTTTTTCAAACTCTTTCTTTGATGTCGTTCGAACGCCGCGAAAAGATGGCTTGGATTTTCGTTTTTCTAGATAATAGTGTTAGCGTAAAAGTTATTTTGTTTCTTTATTTTAAGTTAAAAGTTATTAAAATAAAAACACATAAAAATATATTACTATATATTGTTGTGTGTGTGTGTGTGTGTGTGTGTGTGTGTGTGTGTGTGTGTGTGTGTGTGTGTGTGTGTGAGAATATATATATATATATATATATATATATATATATATATATATATATATATATAATAAATATTTAGGGGAGAGCGGGGTTGCTATATATATATATATATATATATATATATATATATATATATATATATATATATATATATATAAATAAAATATATATTAATAAAAAAATGTACACCAAACTGGCCATCATATAAAAACCAAGCAAAAAATAAATAAATTGATATACAAGTCAATAATTTATAGATTAACATTTTCTAAATTAGATTTAAGATACGTCAATAAAATAATACTTTAGGTTATAAATCAAAAAAAATAAATAAATAAATTCAACATTGGTTACCTTGATTTTCGTTTCTCGATCGGAATACGCGTAACTTTCTTCCTTTAAAATCTGATTCGTGTAATTTAAGACCAAGCATTACACCATCACTATTCTAAAAGTTGAATAATTTATTTAAACGAAAATTGATGTTAAAATTTGTCATTATTCGTTTGGATTGCACAACGATAGTTACTGGCTTAAGTGGCCATTGTGTAACTACGTCATTCGAACCAGTCCCAAAAGTGTATTCGACAAAAAGTCTAAAAACCGTAATAGTTTTAATGCTGACTATGTTGGGATATTAATCATGAATCTTATTTTAATCATGAATCTTATTTTAACATTCATGACTGATATCACTAAGAAATCATTAAAAAAAATAAATATTATTAAAAGTTAAAAAATATTTTTAACTTTTAATAATATTAACTAAAATTGAGCTAAATCTTCGTTTAGCTCAATTTTAATCTTTGCCGCGCAAATATCTGGTAAAAAATATTATTTTTTTATATGTATGAGTACATATTTTCATGATATGCTAATAATATTTTCAAAAATTAAAAAAAAAATAAAAATTTCTTTACGTAAAAATAAAACGTAGTTTTTTTAATTTTCAAAATGTTAAACAATTTGAAAAACTGATTAATGGAAATAATTCAATTTTAAACGTCATTTACTGATAAATAATAAATTTCTTGTTCGCAAGTTTCTAAGGAGACGTAAAAATATGTAAAATTCATAAACTCATTGGATAAGAAAATGTGATGAAACTTTTCTCAATGATAAAAATTACTTAAAAAATTTTAGATAAATTTAAAAAAATAATTAAAATATCTGAATAAATTGCTGAAGACATGGTACGGACATACTACAATCAAATTTCACTATCGCCTTGGGAAAAGGCTATGCAAAATGCAGACAATCATATGGAAAACAATCATACAGGGAGAAAAATGTTTTCGAATGTTAACACAACAACAAGTTCTATAAAGTTTAATTCAGACAACAATAATGCCGCACTACCACCAATAAAAGAGGGGCGCCAAAAAATGTTAAAGGAGTTAGAGTATGAGGTTGGCAAAGCTGCATCAAGATTAAAGGAAAAATTCGGTAACATTAAACGAGAGTGTTCTCTCTACGATCCCACAAATAATGGATATATATCAATCAATACAATTGCAGAGATACTCAAGCGCTTTAAGGTTCCTGAACAAGAAGCAGAACAAAAAATACTCGTAGCAAGTTTCACAGAAAATGAAAAAGTTCGTTACACAAATGTTTTAGATTACATTTTACATTGTCAAACGTTATTTGAGAACAAAGTTAAAGAGTCGCAAAAGACAACAACATACGAGATCGTTCCTCAAACATCAAAAGCCGATAGCTTAATTGGTAGATTTGACTCAACTGCTAGCTCCCAAAGTGAACGTCAAAGCGAATACCGGCCTAACCGTAAAGAAGTGGCGCAGCAAAGACTCAATGATCGCAGAGATGCTTCACTTATGATAGAGGTTGACAAAGCACTTAAAAACACACGAATAGACCGAAATGAGTTGATTGACGCATTAGAAGAGACATTAATTTTAAACTACACTGGGAAAACTATAGTCAATGAGCAGGTATGTTCAACTAGGAGACACCATGAGAGAATAAAACCAGAAAGCAATCTGTATAAAAAGCAGCCAAGTGTTATACTGTATTACTTAAGATCGGTAAAAAGTACTAAGGAAGACCGGGCAGAGGGAAGTGTGGAGGGGGAATAATCAGATTACAGCTTTGTAGACATAAGATATGTCTGTAAGAAATAATTTTATTAACATATGATAAAAAATTTACTTTTATTTAGATGAAAAAACTGGTAGAACGACATAATCTTCCGCTAAATCCTGCTCTAACTTTAAAATGCATTCAAGTGTGTGACACAGAAAATATTGGAAAAATTAGGTAAATTTTAATGTTAAATTAAATAAATTTCATTCATATTCGTACACGCTATATATTAGATAACAGTAAAGAATAAACTGACTAAAATTATAAAATGACTTTTGAATCGTACTTATGCAGATTAGGGGGGTTAAACAAATGTTTACACAAAAAAAAAAAAAAAAAATTTGAAACTGTTTTAATGCACTTTAGATATTTTATTCTTTTTTTTAAATTTTGATATGGCAATCTTTTGTAATTGATATATATATATATATATATATATATATATATATATATATATATATATATATATATATATATATATATATATACACATAAATATATATATATATATATATATATATATATATATATATATATATATATATATATATATATATATATATATATATATATATATATATATATATATATATATATATATATATTAAATTTATTTAACTTACAAAAATAATAGAATAAAGCGGGTCTTGTCCAATAGTTTTTGATAAAACTGATTTTCGATAAAACAAAATCAAATTTTTATATTCTTGTAAAGTCAGTTAACTTTAGAGCCAATTTCTTAAGAAATCTATTTAAAATAAAAAATAAATTTTTTTTTAATAGATGCATTTTAAAAAAAAAAAAATTTAATTTTAATTTTTTTTAAAATAGATTTCTTAAGAAATTAAAATTAACTCTACAATAATATAAAAATTTTATTTTGCAATTTTATTTAGTTTTAAAGTTACAAGCATTTGAAGTTAAAAAATATTAATAACTAAACAATGTTTTTTTTAACTAAACGTGTTAATTAGCCTTACAATTAAGTTATACAATTAATAGAAATAAAAAACTAGATTAAATAATACAATAAATTACAAAGATGAGGTAAAAAGTATCAGTCCCTACATTTTTTAAACAAAAGAACTCATCGCCAAACGTGTATTTTTTAGGCAAGCATAAAAAACACGCCAAGCTTTGACAAATTTTCGCATATAAAGCATTGGTTACTTTTCATTTTTATATATTTTTTTCCTTTCTCAAGTGTGTGTTGCGTGGACTCTCCACGACGGGTGATTATTTTGCGTAGCATTAAAATCAGTTATTTCCTTTTTTTTTTAATTTTCTTATTCTTCTGGAAATCAGCCTGTTTGAATGTATTTAGCATCTGGCATTTTTTCGCCTAATAGTGTTGACATGATTGACTCGTAATTTTTTTTTTAATGCACTTTCTAGAGCATTTCTGTTTTCTTAAATAGCAGTTAAAACTAGATCAACATTCTCTCTATTGATCTATATTAAGACTGGGGTGTGTGGATAAGTTACTACTACTGATTCGGTAGATAGTAAAACTTGTGAGCATATAAAACAAATGTTTGAAAAACTGTAAACAAATTGAAAAGATTTTGGTGGTTAAAATATTTCTGCAATTATCAATTTAGATCTGTCAACTTTGTATATGTCTAACCGTGTATAAGTCCGTTTTGTATGTATAAGTATGTATGTATAAGTTTTGTATGTATAAGTTATGTATGTATAAGTTATGTATAAGTCTTTTGAAATCCTAAATTCTTTTGAAGACGCGTAAAACATTTACTTGAATTAAAAAGTTTTGATTGAAGCTGAACGTGAGCATTTTTAGATAAACTGCTGCATAGTGTGTTGGTGTAATACTTGTCTAATATTTGACACTATACCTTCTTTAACATGGCAATACACACTAACACAAAAAGCTGAAGAATGTGCGACGAACGAGCCGGTAGGCATATTAGCTTGACGTTGTTTTGAATACAAAAAGCAACTCGCTATCTAACATATGTGCTGTGGCCATCAAATACTAACACATCGGTACCAGAATAATTTTTGGAAGCTGAAATGAATGTTTTAGTTAGCCTTTGGATAAATTATTTGTCTTCTATTCGACCTGAAGGTGAAGTTGTATATTCGACATTTTTTGGCCTGTTGTGCATCACTTTACTACAAAGTGATTAGTTTCGAAAAGCATTTATGTACTTGTCTACTGTGTAGTTTATTTTGCCATTATTTCCAGTTAGTTTAGGTGGAAGCTTGAAATCGCGTTGGCAGAGAATTGTTAAATTACCCTTGTCACAGTTAAAGCCAACTTCGTCAAAACCTAGATATTTGAGAAATAGTATTCATCGATGCTTGTTTCAAAAAATTGATTCTTTCATGTATTGATACATTTATTTATATAATTTTCAGTACAAGAAGCTGCTTTTAGTGTTGCAATTTTACCTGCATTTTTTTTTCTAAATTGATGTTTACAACATTTGATGAAGGCATAGTATCAAGCACTCGATTTACCGTTTATCTATAAATTACCGTTTATCTATAAATTACCGTTTATCTATAAATTACCGTTTATCTATAAACTAGCATTTTTTGTATATTGTAAATTGCTAGCAATAAGATAAAATGCTTGTTTGCTGTTTCAACCGAAACTCCAATCGGCAAGTTTAAGAAGCATTTAACTAATTTTCATTTAGTAAAAGTATTTAAAATGGTGACTACCCCAGTACCAATAGAACAGGGTTATTAATCTATAACGATAAAGTTGGCTTTATAATGCCATACATAAATCATGTTTTACATAATGGTAAGTAACCAGATCTAATTTTTGAAATTGCAGCATTAAGTTGCTCGTCAATGCAAATTCTTGTTTTTTTGTTTGCCATTGACTGAATCTTTTATCATTGACTGAGATAAAGTGATAAATTTCTTATTTAAGTTATTAATTCACGTAGTTTACTTTTATTTGTATAAAGAATAGATGCGTAATTAAATTTTAGTTAATAAAAAAATGTGAAACAGTTATATAAAATATTGTGTTCTATTAAACATAAAATCTCTTTGCATTCGCTTTTTACTGGAACAAGCAAATTCAATTCTTAAAAAAGGATCATCTTCAGCGGAATATTTTATTAAAAAACATAGTAATAAAAATTCTGTAAACCTTGATAGTACATATTAAGGCTTAGCGTTAAAATTTTTATTTCAATAACTAGGTTGACATAAAAATGAAATTTAAAATAATTTACAATAACACTCAATAACTCATGTTAAAGTTTTAAAAAAAGTTGTATACCGTATGATAGAGCAAAACATTCTATATATTGTCAAAAAAGAAATTCATAATAATTTTCTTATTAAAAGTTAATTTATAAAAACTAAAATCAAAGTTGTTCAATTTTACATTTTGTTTTATTGAATCCGCTTTTACTCAGTAACAAAAATGAAAATAAAACAATAATAATAAAAAGGTACATTTAAACTTTTTTAGTTTTTTGATATTTAATACTAAATATATGACGAAGATTAGAACTTTGATTTCTAACCACTATTCGCTCGTTGTTATTGTTACATATAATTTTATTATTTTGATTATAAGAAGTTAAAAAAACAAGAGAATAAAGTAAAAAATAAAAGATTGTTAAAACCGTAAATGATGCTTTTAATGTATTTTAATACAAAGAAAAAGATCTAAAATCAATTTACTTTAATGGTTCCAAAACAATTATAAGAACTTTTGACTATAGGAAAAATGCCAGAGTTAGCAAACCTGATAGAAAATATCTCAATTCACCCGAGATTGCTGAACATTCTCAAACAGGCTGAAGACCAAATTTTTTAAAATTTTGATGAACAATTTTACCAAAACAAAAGTTGGTAAAAATGTCTAATATAATCTACTAATTACTTTTCAACATTATTTACCACCCCTTCACCACCCCTAATTTGGTAACACTTCACCACCCCTAATTTGGTAACTAAACTATGGTTTAGTTACAAAACATTGTTTTGTTAAAATAAAAATCACTATAGATGAAAAATATAACTAACAAAAAAATTATCATGATTACACATAGTTGTTATATGTATAAGCATGTCATATTTAACTATGTAATTATGTCATTTTTTCTAACTACTGTACACATCTTACCAGGGATGCAAAGTCTCTCTAGAAAGTTTGTAAAATTCCCTTTTTTTATCACTTTTTAAAATTCCTAATTATCAGTAAATCAACCAAGCAGCATATATAAGACGTTATTTTTTTAAATTTTACTTCATAGTTTTTTATAGTTATAACTTTTGGTGAATATAACTATAAGCTGATGATAATGGTGGCCATATTTAAAGCTGACAATATTGATGACCGTATTCAAATTATTATTAATGTAAAAAAAATTTCATATTGACATTTTTTAATTGAGATATATATATATATATATATATATATATATATATATATATATATATATATATATATATATATATATATATATATATATATATATATTGATGTAACATAGATATATAGTTTTACTAATGTTTGAATAAATTACTATAAAAAAAAAATTAGTAATATTTTAGTATAATAAATTTTAGATGGGAAAATTTTATAAACCTTCTCCGTAAATCAGTTGGTGAAAGAAAACAGAACTCAGATAACAAATCTGGAAATTTGCCAATAAAGGCTCAATGGGAAACAACACGACCACTAAGTGATATAAGTTCAAAAAAAACAAAAAGAGCCACCAATGATTTAAATGAATCTTTCGACTCCAATGATGACATAAATGTGAATTATTCAAGCAGCTCACAGAACAGTTATGAATGGAACAACTTTGGGACTTCTACATCTGAAATAAACCATCAAAACAACAATTTCAATTATGTTCAAAAGAAAACTCCATTAATTATGACTCCAGAAAATTATGAAAATCAAGAACATACTAATCAGTTTAATAGTAGGAAATTATTATAAAAAAAAAGCAAAAATTTTTTTTTTTGTATTTTTAACATAATTAAAAACTTAAATTGAAAACTTCTAATTATAATTTTAAACAAAAAACTGAAAATTTAAAACTTTATATTTTACTATTCCGCTTTTTTACATGCCAACTAAACAAAACTATTATTACGGCTACAAGAACAAAGAAGGACAAAAAAGACTATAGTGTTTCCATTTTTTTATACAAATTTTTGTGACAGAAGAAAAACCATTTGCTAATTTAAAAAAGAATGTATTTCTTTAGAATAACTGACTGTTAAAACTTTTTATTTACATCAAAAATAAAACTTAGTTTGTGTAAATTTTTTTCAACTTTTAAAAGCTACTTTTTTCTTTGTATAACACTGTATAATACAAGTTAATAATAAATTTTTCAGGTAAATATGAGAATGAAACAAAATATGAAACAAGACAAGTTCAAATTGATGATGACATTGAAGCTGCTTTTTTTAATTCATTACAACAAATCAGAAACGAAAAAAAGTATCAGCAGGAATATACAACGCCAAAAATAGAGTTTTCCAGATATGGTGCCCGAGGGGAAATATATAAGAAGGTTGCACAAGCACTTTATGATAAGGGAAAACGAACCAATGGTAATTGAAATATTCTTTACTAATGTTAACTCAACTGCAACAAAATTACTGGCTTATGTTCCTTTTTTTTTTTTTTTTAGGAAATATCATGTGTGATGAAGTTCGAAAGTTGATCAATTATTATAACTTAATATTGGATGCAGATTTCAACGATGAACAAGTTCAAGATTTGCTTTTAACACATTCAAATAATGATCAAATAAGAGTGGAAGATTTTGTGAATGCTTTTGGAACAAAAATTTTATAGAAACATGCATTGTACATGCATTAAACTTTGTATTTTATAAATAGGACGATTTATGAAAAATTGTAATAAATGCTGTTATGTAAATGCAATTTTTTTTCCCCAAAAACTTTTTAGATTATAAAAAGTTTGATTTAGCAATTTAATATTTTAAAGAGAAAATATTAAGATAAAGCTGAGACTAACTCCTGCAATGACTGCTTGAAGTCCCTGGCAACATTTTCCCCAAATTTAAAATTTTATTCATTTACCTAAATATATATTGATATATGTGCGTGCAAGAAACTGCAATAGTTTAAATAATTATCTAAATTTTCTAAAATTTTTTCAAACTCTTTGGTCTCTTTAGATTTTTTTTTTTTATATTTATTGAATTATTTTTTTTTATATTTTAGGATTTAGGATTGAACTCCTATAAATTAAAAACTTGTAATTTAAAAATATTTTGAGACCCCCTCAACCCCTTAAGGATTTGAATTACAGATGATTTCAACTGTATATATATATTTATATCTACTATAGCAAACAGGGATGTGGAGTCACAAAAGGACTCCGGCTTGATAACTTTATTTTTTCATGCTTCGGGTGTCCAGAAGCTTTGAAAAGAAGAAACATGTTGGTTGATTAATGATCTGCTATAAGAAAAAAACTTATGATATTTAATGACTTGGAATATGTTGTTTTTAAGCCCCAAGTACTTGCCACCATTATACATAAGGACTCTGGGTTCAAAAATTGATTTTTCTTCTTACCTATACGTCTAGATTTTTTCCCCATTAGTAGACCATAAGCTTTTTCAAATTTTTAAAGCTCCTATATATAATTTTATAAGATAAGATAAAAATTGACAAAGTCATGGCATTTTAAGTTAAGAAACTTAAAATTTGGTCACGGTTTCTTCAGCAAATCCATATTTCAAAAGTTTGGTACTTAAAATGCTATAAATTTTTGTAGAATTGTTCGATTTTGATAATTTTTTCACCTTTAAAATGCTGTTTTCAGGGTTTTTCAATGATTCATAACCATCTACTTAATATTCATTTTAAAATTTCATACCTAACAGTAGGTTATAAGATAGTCAATATATGTACTGAAGCCAATAAATGTTCCTTATATTTAAAGTGTCTACTGCCGAGAGCACAACAAGCTAAATAAAATTTTTTTTGGCTGCTTAAATGTAACTTTACCAACAAATAATTATGGATATTTTTAGTCATGATTAAAAATATACTGATTATTGTTAACATACAACAACTTCTAATTAGACAAAGGTCTACCTGCTAGCAATGATATAAGCAGAACTGCTTGAAATAGAAAACAAATTATAAGTTATAAGGAGGTTTATAAAGCTTATAAAGCTTTTTAATATTTTCAAAGATCCAACATTAACAAGCTTTTTCTGCCCTTACCGTGTTAAAGTAAGGTTTTATTTTAGCTTTCTATCTCTATTTATTTAGTTTGTAAGGTTTTATTTTAGCTTTCTATCTCTATTTCTTTCTAAGTAAACTGTGTTTTGAAAGAAGAGCTGCTAAACATAAAATAGCTGGTTATTAGTTATTCAAAGAGAACTATGTAAAATAAATTAGAGTTAAACCAAATATGTTATTATATAAAATTAAACCAAGGAATGATAATCGCTGTGTTAATTATTGAAATTAAATTTGGCCAAAATTATAGTCTATAAACATTTTTATACCAAAAACTAGAAAGAAGTAATCTTTTTGTGACTTTCAAATCGGAAGTCATTTTGGGACTTCACATCCCTGATAACGAATATAGATCAAAAATTGCCTGATAGTTTTGCTTATCTTTATAACATACAGCCTTTTTAAAATAAGAAAAAAAAAAAAAGAAGAATAATGAAAGAAAAATTTCCTGCCCCATCCCAGAACCCTCAGTCAATGTAGCAATATAAACTATATTTATTAAGTGTATTAAAAAAATTCAACATAAGTTTCTTTTTTACAGGAGCAAAATAATGCCTCAACAATATTAGAGATTTATTTGGATTATAACCGACTTTAATTGCTCTTTGTTGTCATATCTGAGCTAAGTGTTTAAATGATGCTTTTTTTTATTTTATTTTATTTATTTATTTTTAATTTATCTCCTCAAGGCCGAGAAGGCCACTACAGACGAGGAGGCTACTTATTTGTGATAACAACCCTCTCTCAATTCTATAACTCTGAAACACGAACCTTGACGAACAAGGCCGCTGCGCGGAGAAACAAGTTGAGCGCGGTACTACCAGGGACGTGGAGGGAATCGAACTCGGTACCACTCGTTTATGAAGCGAGTGCTCTACCACTACACCACTACCGCATTATTTAAAAAAAAAAGCCATAAAATGTAAACATAGTTTAAATTGCACTAGCAAACTTGAAGTTTTGTTTCAACATTGTAAGGTTGCACCTCTCTCTTTTTTACAAAAAGTGAGAGAGTCTTGAATTGCCTTTTTCATATTTACCAATTTTCAAGTTTTATATTAGCTGCTTGTTTGCTTTTTAGTTATCTTTCTCAATAGCTTAGTAACTCCTAGCTTAATAATGGCTGCCTGCAGCCCTGTAGGAAGTGTTGTATAATGTTAAAAAAAAAGCATTCACAGTAGCAAGGTAATACAACTTATTAGTGTCTGAATAGATAAATAGCAAAAAAAAAAGATAATGCTTTCCAAAGGTTTAATTACTAAAACCTGAAGATAAAGTTTTACTGTGACATGAAACTCACCATTCAAAATAAAGTATGATATAAAAAATATATGATTAAATAAGTTCATTTTTCCAAAGAGGATCTAACAACATATAAAATGACTTGATCCAAATATTATTATAAATAAAATATAAATTGGTGTTGTCTTCTAAAAAATAAATTAACCAACTAATAATAAGCTGAAAAATAAAATATTCAACCAATAATAAACCAAAAAGTAAAATAATCAACTAAAAATAAACCAAAAAACAAAATTCTTTTCAATTTTTTCTAAAGTAAATTATTTTTTGAAGTTTATAAAAAAATAATTTTTTTACATTATTACAGTTTTTTGAATGTCTACTTACAAAATTGAAAAACATAAAAAATTTACCTTAAATCTGACATAACCAAAACCTTTACCAAGTCCTGTAGCTTTATCTCTTATTATTCGGATATCTTCGATCCTCCCACAATCTTTAAAATGAGAACGTAGTTCTTCATCTGATAAACCTATAAAAAAAATATTTTTTAAAATTACGTTGTTATATTTTCATTTATAAAAAAACAATTTAAAGTCTTTAAGCTGAATTTAACTTTAACATAGAAATCTAAATCAATAAATGCTAATTAGTTTAGATAAATAATTAGAAATAAATGTAATTAACAGTGATTATATAAATAAATATAATAAAGTGTATAACTTGTGAAATAAATAAAAATTGGAAACAGCATTTTATAGAATACTTAAGACACATACAAAATAATGCTAAATAAATAAATATATACTAAAAGGCAAATTTCCAACAAACAGACATAATTTTTGATCAACCTATAAAATAAAATATAAATATGTAATTAGTCAAAATTAGAATAAGGATTAAGTAAGGACAAATTTGTAAAAAACAGAACTTGAGCAAAATAACTAAATAAAACTTTTTTATATTTTTGTTTTATGGAACTTACATTTGAATTTTTTTATTGTTAGTTTAACAAGGACTAAATTTTGTTGAAGTTTTATAATTAATAACTTTCTTCAAAGGCTTGATAAAAATTATAGTTATTTTCAAATTATGAAAATTCACAAAATGCTTATTAAATTCTAAATTTATTTTATAATATAACAAACATCATACAATTAAATAGAGGTTTATTATACACACCTAACTTAGAATGAAAAATTAACGTTAAAAATATATATTTTTTTAAATTAGTTAAACTTGTTGTCTTATAAACTTGTGTATAAATAAAATTACTTTATGTCAGGATTTTAAAAAATTTTTATAAATAAAGATTTCATATATAAACTGCATAATCTCAAGATATTAGCATGAACGCACTGTATATAGTGTGTACTCCTAATTGATTTAGAACTCTTATAGTTCAAAGAATAAAAATAACGATAAAAATGTTTTAAAGCACTACACTATACACATTATACTGTTACTTGGTACTCATGTCATTTGTTGGTTGTTATGTCATTTATTACTTGTTATATTTATATTTATTGTTATATTTATTGCTTGCTACAATACTTTTGTTGCTCTACAACTATTTTACTGAAAAAACATTTTAGTTTGTTAAATTACACGAAATGGTTGTGTTCTGTAATTATGGTGATAGCTGATCAAATTTTGCTTTAAAGCAGTTGACACTTATAGCACTGACAGCTTGGTTTGGTAGTGCGTTTCATTGGTGAGCAACACGGTTGTTGAAAAAGTTAAATCTAGAAAAAATGTAGTTTTTGCAAATGTTAAAGCATAGTCCTAAAAAAAAAAAAAAAAAAAAAAAAAAAGTCTGGTGCACAAGCCGTTTCTATTGAATTGCCATTTTAAATTGAACTTGATATTCAGTCTAACCCTGCGCAAGTTTAAAAAAATGATCAGTAAACTAGTTATTAATAAAATTTTAAGATGTATTATTATTTAAAGATTGTTTGATAGTTTTTTGTGCAACTTGTGTTGTCAAGTTAAAAAATAACTGTTTCTGTTTTTTTCACTTTTAAAGTCAACTTAAGTGTTAAATTCACACTGCATAAGTTGTATTGTTATTTTAGTTGCACCATCAGTTAATAAGAGAAGTGAAAATTTTAGTTGCACCATTAGTTAATAAGAGAAGTGAAAATGAATTAGAATTATAAAAAAAATAGTAATCACAACAAACAAAATTAGGATTGAAATCAGAATCTGCAAATTTTGAAATTCATTTCTAGTATTATATTATATGTTTCAAAATATTATATAGATTGCATCAATATCTTGTAATATTCGGCAAACCAGGGAGATGTATAAAAGTACATTTCTATGTTTTTTTCACATCATAATCTTCACATTTATATATTGAATCTTTTTGTATCTAGTGTTTGCTACACACCAAACAACTTCTGAGCAATATAAATATCTTTGCTACCTCTTACTTATTGCTATGTAAAACTGTCTTTGCTACGCAATATAATAAGAATTTTTTAAATATTAAGAATTGATTAAGATTTTTATGAAAGAACCATCATTTTCTAAGGGAAACTTATAAACTTCTCTAAATACAGTAAACTAGACACCTTCATTTTTTTTTTTAATTAAACATTTATGCTAGCATTAGCAGCCTAATTACTGTGATCTTAAATGTTCCCAATTGTCAATACAGAGTGCATTGACAACTAACTAAAGAACAATAAAAAGCTGTCAAGCCATTCAATTATAAACATAATTAACAGATTTTAATAGTTTTATAATTTTTTATAAACTTTTTATTGCTTTATTTGAAACATTTAAACAGTCTATTTTTCAATTATAAGATAAAATGAGATGTTTCTTCACATTCTGGTGAACCAAATTTTTTTTAAACTTTGCCAACTGCTTCACTTAACACTTGAGCAATCAAATAAAGACGAATTACTGAACATGATGTAAGTCTTCAAGATAAAATTAAGAAATATAAATCTAAAGTATATGCAAACCATTCTACCACATAATACCTCTTCCAAAATAAGAACTTGCAAGACAGTTGCAAGATATTTTAATCAATGTGAAGCAATTGGAAAAACAAATTTTTAAATTTAATTTTAAAACAATTTTTATTGGAGTAAACTTATAATTAAGAGCTCTGTAAACTATATCACTAGACAAATTTAAGTTCTTGTGCAACATAAAAAACTTTCTGTTTTGAGGGACTACATCAGTGGTTTTCTAATAATAGGCATAAATGCAGCTAATATTTAAAAAAAAAAACTTTTCTTTATCACCTAAATCATTTTTACAATAACTAAAACTATTTACATAAAGAGTAGTTGGTATGTAAAATAAACCTCTTGTGCAAGGATGGTGCAAATTTCTTAAAATAAGTTTAAATAATTGAACAAAAAGCAACCTAAGCATTTCTTATGGTTATAGTTATAAACTTTTAAGTATTGAAATTTTTATAAAACTTTCTCAAACATTTATCAATAGAAGTTTACAACTCAAAACATTCAAAAGTTTAGAACTCAAGTTTAAAAATATTATCTTTCTATTTAGCTAACAATCTCTATTCAATTGAGTTTTTTTTTTTAACTAAAAAAAAATTTCACATAAGAAAACCTCAACACTAAACTTGATTTTACTTAATTGATAAGGTAAAAAAAGTGTCAAAAAAGTGGTTTACTTAAATTTAATAAACATTGAACATTAAATTAGGTCTAGGTTTACTTAAATTTAATAAACATTAAACAACAATCTTTTATATACCTTCTGAAAATCTGCTTTGTCTACTCGTAAATGCAATCCTTCTAATAAATATCCATTGCTAAAATATTAAATAATAAAAATATAAGATCGAATAATAATATATAAAAATAATAGATCAAATAAAAATATATAAAAATATTATATCGAATGGTAATATATAAAAATATTAAATCAAATAATAACATATAAAAATATTAGATCAAATATTAATATATAAAAATATTAGATCAAATAAAAATATATAAAAGTTTTAAATCAAATAATAATAAAAATTGACAACTAAAAACAAGTTCATTGAGAATGACAAATTTATAACAAAAAATACAAACTGCAAACAGATTGCAACAAAGAAATATTTTGTTATTAGAGTATAAAATATGGATTTAAATATGATCAATATGGCATCTTTCATAGGTCTTAAAACTCAATTTTAATCAGGGCTGGCATTGAAAAACCTGCCTAATAAAACCCAGGCAATCTGGGTTTTTTTAAAGATATTTTGTAATTTTATGAACTATTATAACCAACATTAACATTATAACTATTTTATTATTAACTAAACTAATTATTAATTGTTAATTAACTTATTTAATTTAACTAAATTAATTTATTATTAACTAAATTATTATTAACTATTATTATTAACTATTATAACCAACAATAACAACAATCAGAGAAGATTTACAAACTTTTGAATCAGTATTTGGAAATAAATCACAATTTTTATTCAAATATTTTTACAGAGATTATCACTTTTTTATCTTTTATGTTATTCATCTCCCAAGGCTGAGAAAGCCACTATAATTGAGGAGGTTACCTTATTGTATTTACAATCCTGAGGATATATTTATTGTAGTTACAACCTTATTGTAGTTACAACCCTGTCTCAACTCTTTAAATCCAAAACACGAACCTTTATGAACAAGACCGCTGTGCGGAGAAACAAATTGGTTCATTTGAATTTCAAGTTTAAATTTCATGTTTAATTAAAACTTTAGTTACTTCCTCACATTTTCCTTCTTTTCTCATTGACATTTATAATTATAAAAAAAATTGCTTTTAAATCTAAAATAAATCAATACATATAGGTTTAACGTGAAATTTTTTTTATATTACAGATTTAAATTATGTTTAAAAATCTTTTTCAAAATAATTTTCAAAATTCTTGTTATAAATTATTAAATAACATTATATAAAATATATTTTAAATAAAGTTAATGTAGAAAATTATACTAATTTTCAAAATCATTAAACAACAACAACAAAAAAAATTAACAGATACGAAATAAAAATAAAACCCAAGTTTACCTAATAAAACTTACCAAAAAAAAATCCACTGGGCTGGGTTTTTAAAAAAAAACCTGGTTTTGGCCATCTCTGAATTTAACCGAATCAACAGAAATGCCATATAATAAAACATTGTATTTTTAAAATTAAAAACCATTAGAATTAAAATTAGAATTTAAAATTGTAATCTAAACAGTATATCAGACAAAAAGAAGCGTGTGTCTTTATGACTGACTGACTGCCCAAAACATCAGTTGATAGATGCATTGAGTGTGTATATATAAATATATACACGTACACACATAAATATATATAGAAAAGCATTAACTTTGGGTAAATAAACCATAAGCAAGACTTTTAGATATCATATATATTTACTTATGGTACATTTACCTTTCTAGAGCTTTTTCTGCACTACTCTTTTCTTTAAATACAACATAAGCATTCATGCTGTCACGTTCCTTGTGAAATTTTTTCCTGAAAAAAAAAAAGCTAGATTACAACTGTTCTTCTTTTTTTGTTTTTTCAACTTTCAACTTTGAATCAATAAAGTCTTAATAAAAAAAAAATGTAAATAATTAGAAAAAGACTTACTGAAGAAGTGCAACTTTTTTTGGTAATTTTGATTCTGCAACTGGCTGAAATTTAACGGTTTTTTAACATTTATTTAAAATTTTCTTATTATCTTATATTAATTTCATTATTATATTAAAAATTAATTTCTTATATTTATTTTCAAATTATCTTATATAAATTTTTTTATTATCTTATATTAATTAATGTTGTTCTACAAAAACAAAAAACTTAAACAACATACAACTGATCGAATTCGAATAGTCTCAATATTACCAAACTTTGCAAATAGTTTCTTTATGTCCTTAAAATGGAAAAACTTAAATATTTATAACAAAAATAATAAAGACAAAAAGATAACATACAAAAAGTACAACAAAAAACCTTTCTTGTAACTTTAAGTGAAACATTTCCAACAAATATTGTTCGTGAAAGTCTTTCTGGATCTTCTTTTTCTTTTTTCTTTTTTTTTCTATAAAGATTTTCACTCCATTACTTACACTCAACAACAGCAGAAACATTCCATCAGGTATGGACAGAAATGGCCTGCTGTTGCACCCCATAACTGACCACGCTTATAATTTTTTTTCTTTACAATATGACCACGACTGCTTGGATGTTTTAACAATTTAAATGCAATAAAAAAATTGTTACGTTATGAATAACTTTTAATCGTTGGTCTTTTCTAAATATTTTTGTTTTTTGCAAAGACTTTAAATAAAATAAAAAATTATTTATGTTTGTTTAAAATAAACACATTTTGTGTAAATTAAGAGAAAATGTTATATTTAGATTTTTTTTATGCAGGCATGTATCTCTTATGATAAATTAAAATGCTTGAAACTAATTTTCCATGTCTTTCTAAAAATCTTTTAAAAGATTATTTTTTAAGTTACTTTAAATCATGAATAATTTTAATTAAATCTTCTCATTTCAATGGAATGATATAATTGTTTTATTATCATTATTATTATTTTTGTTTCTCTTTATACGAAGAATTGTTAAAAATTTTTTTTTTAACATGACTTACCACAGAGCATGAAATGATTAAAAATTACTTTTTTAATTATTTTAAAGACGGTTATTTTTAAAACATTTTTATTTTTGCAATTTTTTTGAAAAAATAAATGTTTGTACAATTTAACATTTTCTTTCTTGTAAAGAATTGTTTTCTTTTTTCTTTAGTTTTTTTATAATTTTCTTCCTACTTTAAATTTAGCTTAACATTTCTTTTTTCAGCGCATTCCTAAAATCATTTCTAAATATCTAAACAGTCGTGATCAAATGTCAAAAACAAAAATCATTTGTGTGGTCAACAATAGCGCTGGATTGCAGACCATTCCTTCAAGCCTGATTCCATGCTTTAGGTTTATATTTAATTACTTTTAATAATTGTTTATAATAATTTAATTATTAAAATATACATTAGGGTAGATCAAAACTTTTTTTCCCTCAAATCCAGTTGTAATAGTGAAAAAATGCTCTCTTATTACATCAGTTACAAATCTGTTAAATTCTTTTTTTTAGTGTTACAACCCGCGCATTAATCCCAGAGTTTGATATAAATGTATAAAAAATTAGTTGAAGCCATTACAACGTAAAGAATTTAACATATATACTTTGTGAACTAAACGCATATTTTTGTGTTACTGCTAAGTGATATAGAGTTATTGATCCCACCTTGTTTACAAATAGTTTTGTTTTTATTACTTTAAGAGGGTACTTAAAGGTGGTTGCACATGTATTGTGTCATCTTATAGCGTAATTGTTTAGTTTGGTTTTAATGCAACAAAAATATTATAAGAATACAGTTGTGTGTGCCTTTACATTCGCTACATAATTTTCTCTACATTAACTAATAAATCATTATGGAAACTAGAAGACCTATATTCGGGAGTGTACAATTTTTGGAAGTGTACAAGATATTAAGGACAATGTATTGCCTACCTACGAAGATGTCATAAAATATTATGAATGGAATAGATTACAACTTAAAGTTAACATTTTTAGATATTGCCAAGTATCTTGAGCAGAGTTCTATTCGATGTTTGTTAATGTAAATGTAAACAAATTCAACTTTGTTGTTATCCAAGAGAAAAAAAGGTACCAAGAAAGGAAGATGCAAATTGGTGGATTAGATCATACTTTGCCTGATAGGCTAAACTTTTTCTTCAGTATTGCATGAAATATCTTTGGATATTGAAGCGGTTAATAAATCAATAATATGGCAGGAAAGGAAAAAAAGAATATAATGAATTATATAAACAAAAAATGCAGCTTTATTTACCTACTTTATACTTTGATTGGACAAAATGACAAGATTTAAAAAGTTGCTATTGAGACATCTATTTATCAAATTAGGTGTTGTTACCACTGGCCCATCCTCACATCCTATTGGTCCTATTGGCAAATCATTAGAAAATTGTGAAATAATTTACTATGAAAAAATACATAGTGAACTTCCAGAAATTTGAAGATCTGAGTATGGATCGAAAATACTTATATGAAATAACAATGGCAGTTATTAGTGGCAAATGCTCTGATGAATTGAGTAACAGATCCCCACGTAAGATGTCCCATGCCCAATGGTTAACAAAAACAAATAAAATATTACGATATATATATATATATTCATATTTATTACATTTCATCGAATTCATCAAATGAATTAAAACTATTAGCTGAACAATGTATTGTTTCAATATGGCTTCAAATAAAAACAAATCCAACTTGCAATGATGGGTATAAGAACTTTTGGAAATTAATTAAATGTTCTTGATCTACCAGCACAGCTTAAACTAATATTAGATCACATAGTTAAACATAATGCCTATTTTGCCCACGCTGAAAATTTGCTTCTGTCGATGTTATGCGATGAACACAAAACAGTAAGGGAACTTGCATCCAAGAGGATACTTTAGGCACAAAATTCACCTCTTACAGGAAAGATACCTCGCGTGTTTGAAGTCCCACAAATTAATTTTGCTACCAATAGTTATTTTGAGCTCATTAATTAGCAAAAAAATTATTTCAATCAACCAATTCTTTGACACATCATTAAGCAGGAAATAAACAAGGTTATTGAGTCTCAGGACAGCTTAAACTTAATTTAATTAAAGTTGATTGAACACAGAACGCTCGATTGCCATGTCATACACAGGCAATCGAGCGTTCTGTGAAAATAGTGACAAAAACATCTATGCACTTATGCAATAAAAAATCAAGAGAAGTATGTATGTATGTATGTATGTATGTATGTATGTATGTATGTATGTATGTATGTATGTATGAATGTATGTACATATGTACAGTATCTCAAAAAAATATTAGATCAAACAATTCTTTTTAAAAAATAGATGTTTACCCACTAAATCAAAAAAATAATTAACTTTGTTTTAAAAATGTGTTTAAATTTTATCTTCTTACTCAAATAAAGCCACCTGAAAGTTTTTGATTTTTTTTAAAAAGGCGAATTCGAATTCGTATTTTTAGGCGCAATACGCAAAAAATGTTAATATTATTTCGTATGAATAGTTTTGTTGTTATTATAAGATTTTAATGGACCTCGTTATTCCAAGTCCTAGAAAGAGAAAAGAAAGTTATCCTTGTGAGTACTAACATAACAAAAAAACAAACAAGCACGTTTAATGGGACAGTCATACATAAATCATAAGGGAAATGAAGTTCCACCAAAGTACCCTATGTTTACTTGCAGGTAAGTTTCAAACATCTAATATATATATATATATATATATATATATATATATATATATATATATATATATATATATATATATATATATATATATATATATTTATATATATATATATATATATTTATATATATATTTATATATATATGTATGTATATATATATATATATATATATATATATATATATATATATATATATATATATATATATATATATATATATATATATATATAATATATATATATATATATATATATATATATATATATATATATATAATTTTAGTATAATTTCATGTAAACATGAGACTTATGTAAACGTTAAATTTATAAGTTGAAAACGATTTAAATATACTATATAGTATATATATATATATATATATATATATATATATATATATATATATATATATATATATATATATATATATATATATATATATATATATATATATATACATTTACATATAGTATAAAAATCATTTTCAACTTATCATAAATTTAATGTTTACCTAAATCTCATGTTTACATGAAATTATACTAAAATTATAAAAAATATTAGACTATAAAATTTTGAAACATTAATCTTATTTATGAAAGCATGAGTTTAAAATAATAAAGATGTATTATATGTTTATGTCTAAAATTTATAAAATAGCATACTTCAAAATATTTTAACCCTAAAAACCTAACCCTAAGTTAGGTTTAGTAACCAAGTTAGGTTAGTAAACCAGCTATAGTACTTAGATTGTGTTTATACCTGTTATATAAGTAAATTTTACAGATTTTACATATTAAACCTTTCTTGCATAGTAGTTTAATATGTAGTAGGCTAAGTTTTATTATGATTTTTTTTCCAGATAGTTAACATACACTGAATAGTTAAATCTTGTTATAGTAAGCCTAGGCCTATATAGTAATTGAGATTATAACATAGGTAGAAGCACTAAAAAGTCAAAAACTCATAATATGATTATGTCTTTTTCCCCACAGCTTTGGTGGCAATGTTTTTCTCTGTTTAAGATTATGAATAATGCTGTGTATTTTAGTAAAAACATATTTTAGCTTGTATTAATTTTATATTAATTTTTCTGATCTCTTTTTTAAGGTGCAAGAAAAAGTGTTTGGACTATATGAAGCTTGCCAAAAATATTTGTCCAACAACTTTATTATATGAGACAGCTATCTGTCAATGTTTTTTCTAAATATAACATAAAAGAAGAAAAAAGTCATGTATATATATACCATGAAGGTCAAGGAAGAAAAGGGCCTTATGAAGTTGCAACTTTTTTAAATGATTATTTGATCTCAGCTCCATCAAAGTATAATACATTACGTTTGTTTTGTGACAACTGTAGTGGACAAAATAAAAATCAGACCTTATCACGTTTTTGTTTATACTTTACTGACAGTGGTAGGTTTAATAAAGTCGAACAGTTCTTCCCAACGAGAGGATATAGTTTCCTCCCTTGTGATAGGGACTTTAGTATAATTTCAAGTGTTTTAAAAACACATGACCGTCTTTATCACATGCATCAACTCACTGAGCTTATTATTAGCAGCTCCAGATCACAAAAGTTTATGGTGAAAGAAATTGTAGATGCAACTGAATTTTTTAATTTTAAAGCTTGGAGCCCAAAACATTACAAAAAATCTTGTATTTCTTTAGAAATCAAAGGTAAAAATACCCCAAAAGGAAAGAAGGTTCACTTTTCAATTAGTAACTTGTTTCATTTTGTATATGAGCATGATAAAAAAGGCTACATTAAGGCATTCACCAATATTAATGGTTTGGTATGTCATCCATTTTTTATGTCCAAACATATGGGTACTGTACCACAGGTGGATAGTTTAGCTTATCCAAGTGGCAAAATTACACTGAAAAAAGCGAAGGTGGAAGACCTTAACAAATTAAAAAAATTCATTCCTGAAGAATTCAACAAGTTTTATAACGAGTTGTACTCCTGGCCAACTAATGAATGTGAGATTCTCCCTAATAGTGACTTTGAGGAAGAACTAGATTAATATGCTGAGATTTAATGCTTACTGAGAGCTTTTTTTGTTATTAATTCATTAATATTTGTATTATATTTATTACTGGCACGTTAAAATATTGTTTTAAAGTGCATAGCTGTAGTTCTTACAGAGTTTTAACTTGTTTTCCTTCCTGAAATATTCTATTTTTTTTAAAAGGGCAAATTTTTGAAACTTTCATATATTAATTATTAACAAACGAAATGTTTGTTAATAATTAATATATGAAAGTTTGATATAAAATTAATAAAACTGATATAAAATTAATTTTAGTTTTTATCTTGCTAGAAATTTTCATTCTGATAGTTTAATATTTAAGCAACTAGAATACAAAGTGAAATAAAAAATCAAAAAAGTAAAAAAACTCTCTTTTCTGATAAAACTGCACACTTGAATTATTACTTAGTTTAATTTTTCACAAGTGACTAAGCATCTTTACCTAGTTAACCTAGTGTTTATTTCTGTTTAATTAAAAATGAATTATAATGTTATTTGTCAATACAATTTTCACTTACTCATTAAAAACCAATTATTATGCTATTTCTCAATATAATCGTCACTCACTCAATTCAACTCAACCAACTCACTTCAAAATGTCAACTAAAAAAATAAAGTTGCTAAACTTAATGCAAAGTGTAGAATCTCTATGCCAAGTACTCAAATGCCTGAGCATAACAATGCTGAGCAACCACAGCAAAACAATAATGAAGAACAAGTACATAAAGCCGAACAAATAAAAGTTGCAAAATGTAAAAAGTGTTGAGTACAATTACACACAGAAATGTTACAACGTGAGAATTCGATGTCGGAAATGGTTGCGCAAAGAAACTTGTTTACCAAAAAAATATGAGTTGGTACTGAACTTTTTGTTGCAAAAAATGTAAAAACTTTGTTGTTAAAAATAATTAAAAAAATTTAATGTTTTCTTAAATGCACAGTTTTATCAGAATGTCATCTAACAGTTTTGTTCTTCACATTTAATATTTTCAATATTTTGCTATTTTTGTGTGTGTATATTTATATAATCTATATATAATCTACAAAAGATTATTAAATAAATTTAAAAAAAAATTGATATTTTCAATATTATTATTATTTTTTTAGGTATATATTTATATAATCTTAGGTAGTTTTTTTTATTACTTATCAAATTAAAAAAAAAAATTGAAGAAATAAAAAAGTTATTTAATTTTATTGATTAGTGTGCATTTTAAGTATTTATAAAATTTTTTATCTTTATAATTATTTTTAAGTATTGTTTGGGTGAACAATCTGTTTTATTTTTTTCATCTTAGTATATTTTTGAATATTCTTCTATTAATTTTTATTTTTGTCTTGACAACTGTCGAAATATGCTTTGTTTAAAAATAATTAACCTCTATTCTAATGTACTTCATTTTCCCCTCAGGTGTTCACTGCTTGTGAATGATTATTCAGCAAACTTATTTGCCAATGTTTTTAAATAATATGGCAATGACCTACTTTTTATTACTTTTTTTATCTAACTATAATTAAAATTTTAGGTTTTATTTTGTTTTTGTAAAATATAATCTTAAATAACCTTTTTTGAGCATCTTTGACTTCTTTATCTAAAAAATATAAAAAACACATCTTATAAATTACAGTTTAAATAAATTCTTATTACTCATTCTTAGTACATATTGTTCTAACTTATAGCATATTGTGGTATTAGCTAACCCTTATCCAGTCCAGTGAAATTTCATACAAGGCCAAATGCCTTAAAAATAGAACTAAATTATCATAAAATTAGAACGAATTTAGACAAAAATCAAAATACCAATTTTTGGAAAAAATAATACAATTTATTCAATTATAATGTTGAATGTACAATGTCTTCTTTATAGCAGATTTTATAAAAAATTTTACTGTGAGATGAATTATTTTGATTAAATAGCTAACTGTAACTGTCAAATATATTTTTAATAATTAAAGATAATTTATATAATTTTGTAGATTATTTAATTTTGAATCTTTAAAAGTAAGAAAATCAATTTATAAATAAATTTTCATGCAAATAAATATTCATCTTTAAAACATTTTGTAAATTGGAAAGTACCTAAAGCTAAATTGAACATTTTTAATTTATGGATTTGATCTTACTACCTCAGCCAAGAATAAGGATTTTCCTCTACTTTGAATCTAATGAACTCTTCTTGCCATTTTAGTTTAACAATTTACATAGTTAAACAGCTAGACATCCAAACCACTGGCTTCTGTTGTTAAACAGCTAGACATCCAAATCACTGGCTTCTGTTGTTAAACAGCTAGACATCCAAATCACTGGCTTCTGTTGTTAAACAGCTAGACATCTAAATCACTGGCTTTTGTTGTTAAAGCCATTTTTCAATTAAACTCTTCTATGACTTGTGGTAAAATTCTTGTGTTAATCTACTAAAATTCTCATGATTTTAGTAGATTATCACGAGAATTTTAGCTCATGTTTTTACTTTTTGTTGCTTAAAACAGGCAGCCAATCTTGAACCTGACTTCTCTTCTGTAACAGCTTGTGGTTTACAGTAGCTTTTGAGTTTTAACTTTAACAAAGTTATTTACTGCAAACAACTATCACAATATTGTCAACATTCCTATATTAATGAACAGCATCATTCACTACTGACCTATTATGGCAACCATACAACCGATTGCAAAGTTAGCACCTGCTAAGATCTTATTTTTCACTGTATTAAATACTGTTGTTATATTTGGAATGGTTTTTCTAATGATTCTCTTTTTTTCTAATGATTCTCTTTTTATCTAGGAAAGAAGTAATGTTATGTGGTTAAGTGTGGTTAAATTGTTGTAGGGTTGCATCTCTTTTTTACAAATACTTTTTTACAAATACTACTATTTTTTACAAATACTACTATTCTTTTTTACAAATACTACTATGGTCGCTGCTCAAAAGAGCTATCATCTCAATTCCATCAACCAAAACTCATTCTATCTTGATCTTCTGTCAACCGTTTCCTTGCTCTTAACTCTATTTTTTGTTTTCTAGTAACACCCAACCCAATAGTGGTAGCCTGCAGTGAATAGTGGTAGCCTGCAGTGAATATTGGTAGCCTGCAGTGAATAGTGGTAGCCTGCAACTTTGTTGCAATAGTGGTAGCCTGCAACTTTGTTGGAAGCAAATTAGATTTAAAAAAAAAAATGTAAAAGGTTATAAAATGGATTAATTTTAGGTTATTAAGAAAATTTTGAAAAAAGTGTTAAACCAATTTAAAAAAAAAGATTTTTAAAAACACTATAGAAAATCTTACAAAAACAATACCTTTAATTTCTTCTTCAATTTTGTTTGCAGATTCCTTTAAACACATTAAAATAAAGACACAAATTAGGAAAATTAACTAAAGAAACTTAAAATGCCAAAATAAAAATTTTATACAATTAATATTAATAGCTTAACTATAATATAGTAAAATAAAAATTAGTAAAAATAAAAAAAAAAAAATCTATTTATTAATTTACAATTCTAATTATTATTAAAATCATCAGTACTTTTATTAAAAAAAACAAAAACGAAAGAACAATTAAAACAATGTTTTATTTAAATTTTTAAATCTAAAATTTTTCACTAAAAAGTATAAATATAATCAAAATCAATATAACTTATTCAACTTTAAAATTTATAAATAAGCATGGTATTAAATATAAACCACTTATAAGATTATTACAGAAACATTTAACTAATAAAACTACTTTTCAAATCAAACAGTTATCAGAGATAATTTAAATGTATGAAACATATAATGTATGTATTATATTTAATATACACTACATAACAGGATACCATATTTAATAGGATACCATATTTTAGAATTTTTTGATAACATATCTGTTATCAAAAATTATAAGTATGTATACATATAATTTAATTAAGTAAAAGAATTATGAAACTTTTTGTACTTTAAGGGCCACTTATCACATTTTTTATACTTAAATAGTTTAGAACTTATTGTTACATATAATACAAATATCAAGTATAATCTTCATTGGTTTCAATTTTTGTCTTTCTTTAACATTTTCATTATCATCAAAAAGTCAGATAAAATAATTCAGAATAAAAAAATAAAAAATTAAAAAACAAAGTTGTTGGTAAACCTTATAAATAAAGTGAAAATAACACAGTATGAAGGAATGTTATGTGTAATAAGTCAATTGATAAAAGTTACTGAGCAGAAATTAACTGATGATGATAAGATGTAAACAACTCAATCAGGTTTACAAAATTGTCATAAGTAAAACTAAAAAATAAACAAAAAACGCTTACAATGTATTCTTTATACAATGCTTCTAAATCACCACTATTATCTTCTGTTGTTTTAGAAATAGATTTTTGTGAAAATAATTCCACTAATGCTTGGTTTGTACATTCTTCTGCTTTTTTCTTTTTCTTTTCAACCTTATCCGAATCAGAAGCTTGCAAGACTTGCTGAATCATCCCAAATTCATATTTATTTTGTGATGCCATTTTTAAAAAATTATTGTTGACTATTTGAAAGTTTATTTATATAAGAGTTACATAATATTTATCTACAAAATTAAAAATACAAATTTTATTTATATGTAAATATATATATATATATATATATATATATATATATATATATATATATATATATATATATATATATATATATATATATATATATATATATATATATATAGTATGTGTGTGTGTGTGTGTATATTTAAAGTAATATATTATATAAATTATAATGAAGTAAAAAAAACTAATAATTAAATATATATATATTTTTTATTCATTCAAAATAAACTTATAATAAATATTTTCAAAATAAAAACATGGTTGACATGCATGTTTTTGAGAAAGTTTAAAGAGTGGTTTAAAAGTTATTTAACTTATATTTACTCTATTATACATTATGCCTTTCATTATTTATTTAAATAGTTTCCTTAAGTAAAAATATTAATCAATGTTAACAAGTGTTAGGAAAAAAAAATTGTATATAAAAATGAATAAAATAATTAACTTAAAAAATTTTTAAACTTTTGAGACCTAAATATAAAAAACAAAACCGTGAAAAAAAAACTTCACCAAGTCAAATGTTGTTTAGCGATTTCATCAAAGAAATATCTTTTTTTTTTTTAACTCACTTTTATTTTTATTTTTAGATTTTATTTCTTGAAACAGCTTCGTTTAAAGGCTTCTATATTATCCACCATACATTTTCTATGAAAAAAAACAAACAAATTAGTTGTTACTTTATTTATTCTACAAAGAATAAGCAGACCTGCTTGACAATACCCTTAACTTTATATATATATATATATATATATATATATATATATATATATATATATATATATATATATATATATATATATATATATATATATATATATATATATATATATATATATATATATATATATATATATATATATATATATATATATATACACACACACACATACATATATAAAACATTTTGTTTGGTTTAATAATATTTATTACTTTTACTATTTATTGTTTATTTTAAAAGTGATATTTTGGGTCATATAATAAGAATCATTATCAAACTAAATTACTTGTTGTAAAAAACTTTTGTTAACAACAAAACAATATATAGTAATATAATCAGGGTCTAAATAAGTGACAGACATTAGGCCTCTCTGACTGTTTTTGAGACCAGTCTGAGAGGAGGGGGTTAGGCAATGATACATACATACATACATACATACAATCTGAGGAGCAGCAATGTTTGGGACCTAGCAATGTTTAGCAATGTTTCAATCCCTGAATATGATAATATATTATACCATATTTTATACACTTAAGCTAAAAAACCTTTAAAAATACTAACTACTATACTTTGTGAAAAAAAAAATTGATTTCATAAGTACGCTCGTAATAGCATTCTTTTGATATATGCAAAACTAATGCAAAGAAAATGATAAGTTGAAATACAAGCATCAAAAAAATTTGTTGAACATTTTGATATTCACACGTATATTGAATAGCTCTATCTTATGAATTTGAAAATGTTAAAAATTCTCCTCATCTAAACATCATTTAGAGCTGTAGAAGAGATTTTGACCTGAGAAGTTAAGAAGATAAGAGAACAAATTTCTTCTCTTGTGTATACCACTGAAAGCTGGTTGTAAGATCTATTCAAGAAAGCTGGTTGTAAGATCTATTCAAGAAAGCTTTGGAGTTCCCTAAAAATATTATAAAGATGAAGATGATAAAGTCTTTATTACTTTAAATTACAAATTAATTTTAATACCATAAGTTTAAACAGCTATAAAATAATTAAAAGTGCAATTATTTTAAAAGTGCAATTATCCAGTATGCACTAGTAGAATGATAATAACATGTTTAATGTGCTCCTGGTACAAAAAGCAAATGATTAGTATCAAAAGTTAAACTAAAACTGTAAAGAATTTTTTATTTCTGTTTTAACTGTTGCAAAATATGAAAACACAATTAAGTTTGATTACTTACTTTTAATTAAAATAAAATATAAATAAACATTTATACTTAGAATAGATGCAGGTCTGATTATCATGAGTTGGCCAAACTTATATTAATGGCAAACTCAGATGCGTAGTACAGACTCTGAAAGCATGGACCTCTATATCATGCTAGATTTTTGATAAAAAGGAATATGTTCCTTCAATTGGATAACATTCAATTGGATAACT